CACACACACACACACACACACACACACACACACACACACACACAGAGCCTTGTATTTTATACACATGGTAAACGAATCACAAACATGCATACATACATATATCATCATTTTTCAAGTACTCATTGAAGCCCAACTGTACTTGCATGTGCCAATAGCATATATATTACTTTATACTCACTCGGGAACCCAATTGCACACGCGAATGCGCGCGCGCGCGCGCGCGCACACACACACACACACACACACACACACACGAACCACACTCATGGACACAAAATTGTCAGACTGGAAACTAGGGAAGTTGAGTTGCAGATGGGCTTTGTTATTAATCTGCTGTGTTACCTACATCAATTTACTCCCCAACTCTGTGCCTTGCCCAGAACAAAAACGCTAAGGTCCTTCAGGTGGAGGAAGCTCGAAAGGAGTATTGAAGTTCTAGGCTACAGTTCTATTTCTACTTTCCCCCAGGTAGAGGACATTGAATGAGTCCCCTAACTTACTCTGAGCGGCAGGTTCCTCCTCTGGAAGAGTGGGTAGTTTAAATGCACATATCACCTGTCTTACGTATGGGAGATAATAATGTGCTCATGGGTGGGGCGGACACCGGTATACTGTTTGATGGCTCTCATACAGATCACGAATGGCGAGGGCACTGAGATCGTGCAAAGTGGCACACCTACCTTCATTTGGAAAAGGGCTCTTGGTGGTTTGGGTGTTGGCTTTGGCCATAGTGGGGAAGAGGTTAAAGGAATGTCTTTTGAGTGGGAGAGAGTTAGGTCCTCCCTGGAGGCTCCGAGGTGGCAGGCTAGACTATCTTGGTGAAGTGACAAGAATTGACTTCCGGCTGTTTTCTCCAGATGACCGAGGCCCTGTGGTCAGGAAGCAGAGGTACGTGTTTGACATCAGTGCTCTGGAGAAGGATGGGCTGTTGGGGGCTGAACTGCGGATCCTACGGAAGAAGCCCTTGGACATGGCCAAGCCAGCGGTCCCCAGTAGCGGGCGGGTTGCCCAGCTGAAGCTGTCCAGCTGCCCCAGCGGCCGGCAGCCGGCAGCCTTGCTGGATGTGCGCTCCGTGCCAGGCCTGGATGGATCTGGCTGGGAGGTGTTCGACATCTGGAAACTCTTCCGAAATTTTAAGAACTCAGCACAGCTGTGCCTGGAGCTGGAGGCCTGGGAACGGGGCCGGGCTGTGGACCTCCGCGGCCTGGGCTTTGAACGCGCTGCCCGACAAGTCCACGAGAAGGCCCTGTTCCTGGTGTTTGGTCGTACTAAGAAACGGGACCTGTTCTTTAATGAGATTAAGGCCCGCTCTGGCCAGGATGACAAGACTGTGTATGAATACCTGTTCAGCCAGCGGCGGAAACGGCGGGCCCCACTGGCCAATCGCCAGGGCAAGCGACCGAGCAAGAACCTCAAGGCTCGCTGCAGTCGCAAAGCTTTGCATGTCAACTTCAAGGACATGGGCTGGGACGACTGGATCATTGCACCCCTTGAGTACGAAGCCTTCCATTGCGAAGGACTATGCGAGTTCCCCTTGCGCTCCCACTTGGAGCCCACAAACCATGCAGTCATCCAGACCCTGATGAATTCTATGGACCCTGAATCCACACCACCCACCTGCTGTGTGCCCACACGGCTGAGTCCCATTAGCATCCTCTTCATTGACTCTGCCAACAACGTGGTGTATAAACAGTACGAGGACATGGTCGTGGAATCTTGTGGCTGCAGGTAGCAGCACCGGCCCTCTGTCTTCCAGGGTGGCACATCCAGAGAGAACCCCTCCACATGCTCCTGGAATCACAGAGGGGTTGTGAAGTATCCCGACAGCCTGCAGGAAAGGGGATTTCAATGGATGTACTCTCTGGGTGTGATCTGGGCTAACCGTGCCCCATCTGGAGATTCCTGCCCTTCTGCTCCTCTGACAGGCAGTGACAGGCCCAGAGAACAGACTCTGAGTGGGACTGGGACCCAGGAGAGGAGACTCGGGCCATCATCCCTCCTGCTCCGGCCTCCTCGGTCTCCAGAGGAGCTGGTGATATCCTAAGCGCTTCATGGGACAGCCGCAGTGCCACCCCCTCCTTGAATTACCTTTGTGCCTGGTGACTTTCCACCCGTAGGGCAGATTAGATGCTCTTTGCCTGGGCTGGTGGAGAAGGGTAAAGGACTTGGGTAGAGTATGAGCCTATTAGACTGTTAGACTAAAATGTACGTTGATGAGATAAAAAGCTGAATCTTCATGCCTAAAGTTGTAGCGGATTTCTTGTTTACTCCAGGGGCCCCAGACCCCTTACAGAATTGCTAACCCTATGAGTGAAGGTAGGTTGCCTCAGGTATGAACTGTTTCCCAGGCTTGGACCCCACCCCCACTCCTGGGAACTGAAGCAGAATGAGGCCCAGAGTACAGCTGGTCATGGCCAGTGCTCACCTCTAACCCCATTCCTGATCCTTCCAAAGGCCCATTGGTCCCCAGCTCCTTCTGCTCCATTGGGGCCTAGCAAAGAGTTAGAGTTTTACATTCCTTAATCAACTTCACGGTCTCCAAAATGAAGCCTTAAGAGTGGGGAGGGGGCCCTGGTTTCCTTTCAAATTATCTCCACTTCGTTAACCAGCATTTGCCCAATCCTGGGTCCCCCAGTGTCCCTAATCACAGACTTGACTGGGTCTCACTGAAGGGGTCCTCTGCTTTTTTCCTCTGAAGAATCTGGGCTGCCATGGGTCTCCTCCTCCCTATGGTGTTACCTCATTTCTACCATTGGCCACTGTTCTGGCATGACCAGCATGATCTGACCTGGGACCCCTCTGCTGCACTCTGGCTCTGTGTGATCGAAGCACTTGACTGTTCAGAGTCAGAAGTTGAGTCCTCCCTTTACATCTTACATTATACAAGTACATAATTACATACCAATCACCCATCTCCCTGTTGACCTCAGACGGACAGAAAATGCCAGGCATATCCTCACAGTGCTTCCTGCTTGGAACTTGGCCCACAGTAAATGCTCATTTCCCTTTCTTCACTAGAATCTTTGAAGAGGTATGGGACATGAACTTTTGGAGAGGACAGTCCTCTGGTGGGGAAATTTAGGCACCTGGATCCCAGAGAGGAGGGCTCAAGGTCAGAATCTACCTGGCTAAAGAGACACACAAGACCAAAAGTCCAAGTCTCTGGTTCCCACCCAGAGGGCCTCAAAATTTTCCCCACCTCTCTCCAGCTGGGTCTTTGATTCCCAGGGCTGCCAGCCAAAGCTGTCTCAAGAGTAGGGATCCCTGCCCAACAATGGGCAGGTCTTGTGTCCTTTCCCTTTGGGTTGTCAGGACCTGAAGCAAGAGCCCAGTGTAGGGGGCAGCCCTCTTTTGAGCTGCCTCCTTGGTTTGGAGGCCATTACCTGTCCCAGAGGGGCAAGACTGAGTCTGGAACAGAGTTCTCTCTGGCTTGGCTTCGTTGTGTTTGGCTAGTAGTGTGCCTGGGAGCTCTGGAAGTAAACAAAAGAGCTGCCACAGCAGACAGAGGCCTGGTGTGTGAGAGGAGAATGAGCCCAGAGGAAGGTTCTGGCAAGGCCAAGGAGACAGCTATGGATACAGAAAGAGCAGTGTAGGCGCGAGGTGGCTAGAAACCCACAGGCAGAGAGACAGCGGGAAGGGGTCACAGGTGGCACTGGCTGCCCCAAGTACTTATTTCCTAGGTTGTTTATCTCTTGTTTCTTGGAAAGTTCTTGCCTTAGCCCCAACAGAGGATCACCTGAGTCACAGAGCTCTTCCTGTTGAAGGGCTAGGCACTGAGTGAATAGTCTTAACTCTGGCTGGATACCCCTGAAGCTTCCTTTCCCACCCCAGCCAGCCCTGGAGCTCTTTTTCTCAAGGGAACAACCCACACTTTACAGCCGCTTCATACAAATCTAGGGATCCAGCCAGTGTTGGTGGCGCATGCCTTTAATCCCAGCACTTGGGAGGCAGAGGCAGGCAGATCTCTATGATTTCGAGGCCAGCCTGGTCTACAGAGTGAGTGCTAGGATAGGTTCCAAAGCTACACAGAGAAACCCTGAACAAAACTAAACAAACAAACAAACAAAAACAAAAACAAAAAAACAAATCTGGGGATCCAATCTGACCACCAGGAATGGCAAGAGTCCTTTCATTCCAGCCTTCAGATCAGGTCAGGGCAACAGCCTCTTTGGAGAACTCTCCTCCCCAGCACCACATCTGACCACAATCACAGGAAGCTGTATACTGATGTACTGAATTCTTGCTTAAAGAATAGAGAACTTTCTGAGGCAATGGAGATGGTTCATTGGTGAAGTACTTACCACATAAGTGTGAGTACCTGAGTTTTTATTTTTTTAAGATTTATTTATTTATTATGTGTACAGTGTTCTGCTTGCATGCTGCTTGCAGGCCAGAGGAGGGCACCAGATCTCATTACAGATGGTTGTGAGCCACCATGCGGTTGCTGGGAATTAAACTCAGGACCTTTGGAAGAACAAACAGTGCTCTTAACTACTGAGCCATCTCTCCTCCAGCCCTGAGGACCTGAGTTTTGGTCCCCAGCACCCACATGAAAATCAGAGTAGAGTGGTACCTGTCTGTAAGCCCTGTGCAGGGGAGGTAAGGATAGCAGCAGCTCCTTAGGGCTTGCTGGCCAGCCAGCCTAGCTGAATCTTTGAGATCCAGGTTCAATAAGAGAGACTCTGTCTCAAAACATAAGGTGGAGAGTGACCAAGGAAGACACCAGACATCAACCTGTGGCCTCTACATAAATACACATAACACACATGTACACACACACACACACACACACACACATTTGGATGCTCATGTGCACACAAACGTACCCCCCCCACACACACACACAAACAACACAGGGTTTTTATTCTGCACCATAGTTCACACTCTCCATAGTCATTCAGCTCTGAAGGGTTCAAAAGCTTGTGTAGTTTCAAACTTCAGTTTTGTCTTCTGTCAGTTATAGGCCTTAAGGGCTGCAGAAATGGCTCAGCAGTTTAGAGTGCTTGTTGCCCTTGCTGAGGACCCGAGTTCAGTTCCCAGTACCTAAATCAGGTGGTAACAAGCACCTATGATTCCAGCTCCAGGGGATCTGAAGCCCTCTTATGGCCTCTGTGGGTACCTGCACACATGTGTGAATACATATACATGAGTGTGCATGCACACACATATTCATAAACAAAAATAATGTTAAACCGGTTGTTGGTGGTGCACGCCTTTAATCCCAGCACTGCAGAGGCAGAGGCAGACAGATCTCCGTGAGTTCGAGACCAGTCTGGTCTACAGAGTGAGTTCCAGGACAGGCTCCAAAGCTACAGAGAAACCCTGTCTCAAAAAATCCAAATAAATAAATGAATGAATAAATAAATAAATCTTTTTGGGGGAGGGGTTTCAAGACAGGGTTTCTCTGTGCCTTTGGAGGCTGTCCTGGAACTAGCTCTTGTAGACCAGGCTGGTCTCGAACTCACAGAGATCTGCCTGCTTCTGCCTCCCGAGTGCTGGTATTGAAGGTGTGTGCCACCATTGCCTGGTAATAAAATAAATCTTAAGAAAAAGTTACAGCTTTGAACAAGAAGTAGGTGCTGCCATGTGGCCAGGCTGCCTTATGATTCACTGTGTATCCGAGGCTGGTCCTCTGTCTTTTGGGACTGTAGGTATGTACCATTTGGTTGGGCTTGGTTCCTTATTTGAGAAAGAAGGGAAGTAAATGAAGGAAAGAGGGAAATAAGAAAGAAAAGGGGGTAGTCATCATATTTATTATCTATTTCATAAAACTAGCTGTGAGATTTTGAAAGACACTCAACCTAATAGAGTAAGTGGCACAAAGATGACACTCAGTAAACATTATTGTCACTATTGTGCCTCAAATTGTCCTAAGAATAGGCAATATGAGGAGTGTGTGTGTGTGTGTGTGTGTGTGTGTGTGTGTGTGTGTGTGTGTGTGTGTTCCTCAAAGTGTAGCTCTGGCTGTCCTGGAACTCTCAATGTTAACCAGGCTGACCTTGATCTCACAGAGATTCACCTGCCTCTGCCTCCCTAGTTCTGGGATTAAAAGTGAGCACAACCATGTCCAGCTCCTAAGAGGACCACTGACTTCTGTTGTTTTTTACTTAGAGGACTGCAGAGTGGCAACCACATGTCTCCTGCAGATCTCCTCATTCTTACACCCACTCTTCTGGGCCCCTGAGTCTGTTGACCCCTGTCTTGGCTAGCAATGGAGTCACCTCCCTGGCTTGGCTCTCTGGCCCCAAAACTCTCTCCTTAGGGACACACCATGCTGTTAGTTCCTTGGGAAAAATATCAGAGCAGAGTTTAGGACAGGAAACATGAGAGGCCCAGAGGGGAGGAAAGAAGGAGGCTTCCAGCACTCCACTCCCCATCGCTGGGCCCTTTCCACATCCTGTGTCCCAGGGTCACAACAGGAGAAACCACATCTCGGGAAGCCTTATGGGATCTCTTGATTTGAACATACATTTGAGGAAGCAGAGTAGGGCGAGGCTAGTCACATGATGGGGATCGGAGAGTTCCAGCCCTGGTTCTATCATTTTCCAGGTAAGTGGCCCAGGCTAAGTCAGTTAACCTCTCCAAGTCTCAGTTTCCTTGTCTGTAAAAATGGACAATATAAAAGTTATAATTCTGGGACCTGAGAGATAGCTCAGCTGTTAAAAACACTGCTGCTCTTGCAGAAGTCCTATGTTTGGATCCTAGTACCTACCTAGCAGCTCACAACCATCTGTAACTCCAGTCTAAAGGAGCCAGTATCCTTTTCTGGTTTCTGTGGACACCATTCATACATATGCTGCGCATACTTACATGCAGGGAACCACTCATACACATGAAATAAAAATATATAAATTGTCAGGCAGCGATTAGTGCATGCCTTTAATCCCAGCACTCAGGAGGAAGATGAAGGCAGATCTCTGAAAGTTCAAGGCTGTCCTGGTCTACAAAGTGAGTTCCAGAACAGCTAGAATTCTGTTGCACGGAGAAATCCTATCTTGAAACACACACGCGCGCGCGCGCGCATGCGCGCGCACACACACACACACACACACACACACACACACACACACACACACACTCTTGAAAAACTATGAATCTTCAGATTCATTATATGATGGTATTCATTCATTTCACCAATGAATGAACCTTTATCTAGTCATTTATTGATTGATTAATGAATAGTTACTGAAGGTCTAGTCAGGCACAGACACTGTACCTGGTGTTAGGATGATGATAGAA